GATGTAAAAGATTTTAGGATATTATCATATTATTCATTTGCATTTTAGGAGCACTGTGGTACTCATTTAAAAATATCTTTTTTTTGTTATTAAAATGCAATAATTCAAAATTTCACAACCTAGTTTAATCTGATGATGGGTATAGTTTATGTAGGGAAAGGTAACTCCACCAGTCAGGTACAGACAGCCTTGATATTTGCAAAGAACTATAATATCTGATGTATAACAGACAAAAAATATTTTAATCACCATGAATTTCTTTTTTCACACTGTAGAATTTAGAAAAACTGTATAATGATGAGAAACGTGTTATCCTTCAGTGGCCTGAAGATAATTATCTATACTTTTTAATCATTATGTGTGTGAAAAATACAGGGTTATAAATAACTAGCTGCAATTAGTGAATACATTTTTGTGGACTTGTCAAGTAATAAAAGCACTCTTTAGAATTTACAAAGAAAGTTAAGCTCTAAGTCACTTGTTGGTGATGCGTGTGATGATTAATGATATGTCATTATATCCTTTTATATCATTACAAGGATGCCAATAGGTGGATAATAAACTGTCACTGTTTATCATTTATAAGTACCTAAGCAGAATTGGATCGGAGGAAAATAATGAACAAAATGGTTCAATGAACAATAATGAAATATCAGAATTTTATTAAATTCCATATTTTTGAGTTGCAAATAGATGTCAACATGATTTTTTTATAATATAGAAAAGTGAAATGGTGAATGGTATGGAGATGATGGTAAGATGAAGAATATGTACATCTTACAAAAAGAACAACAATGCAGATGTAGAAGATTCTGGAGTGGATGATATGTCAATGGCATCAAGTCAGTAGAATGTGGGTGTCACTGTACATGACCTCTTTGCTGACATTGCACAGTCTGACATTCCCAAATATTAGTTGTATCATGGTGGAGAACAAAATTCCCACCCAGACTTGTTAACTTTAAGTAAGAAGCTTATTGGCTTATTTGTCTCGCATCTCTCAGAATCCACCTACCTGTCATGCGAACAAATATATACTTCATTGTTTGACATGAACAAGTCTCTAATTGGCTGCCAGAAATAGACAGGTGTTGACGGCTGTGCAACATCAGCCTGACCATCCTTCCCCTGGGCCTCTAAGTGTGCCGTCTCCATCTAGCCAAGATGGGACCAGCAGATGTTCCGTCATCTTATATAGCCACATAGCTTCATGGATGGAATCTGCCCTCACACCTTTACATTAAATGGTTGCCATGCTTTGGGTGCTTGATAATCTGTTGATTAAAGGTCCTCCATTGGTCTGTTTTCACAAACAGGGTGCCGTTGTACAAAGCAACCTTAGCGCTATGCCAGTCGTAAGTCTATGTTAAGGTGTGGGAGTTGCGATCACCTTAGCGCTAAGATTGCTTTGTACAATGGCATCCTGATCTTTGTTCAAACCATAGCTGGTATATTCTCCTTTTGAATACAACTGAATAGAATACGATACAATAGAAAATGTCTTCTGAAGATATCTTAGTACATCCATGTGCTATTGTTGGTCAGGTGGAATAGTCTGGTCTTTACACTGGCCTAATTGTTAGTTTGTTTTCTGTATTTCATTCTTTTGGAGCATGGTTTGTTCCTTGATGCCAACAATGGACCAGATTCCACTGAAGGGAACATGCTATGGCAACCGCCTGCCTTATTTCAATATTCAGTTGGTCATTATTTGTTTACCACTGTAAGTTTATGGTAGTATTTTCATGGTAAATGAATCCCTACTATTGTAGTCAGTTTCCATTTGAACAAATAAAGGTTTCTTCCCATGTACACTTCAGGGATTACTTCGTGAGCTGTGTTACCTTTTTACTGTGGCAGTTGGCTTGTCATGAAAATCTAATACATTATTTGACATTGGAAACCTTTGCTTGGTTACCTTAGTTACAAGCAGGATGTTGGCAGTCTACTCCCATCGACGTGAGTCTACATGACATGGTGACACTGTTCCTGGTTATATAACAACCAATGGACAAGACCTCTGTGACAGAATCAAGCACAGCAGAGCCATGAAATGTAACAGCTGATGCTTCTATTGTTTATGGCCAAATAGCAGACTGGAATATATTTATGTTGTGTCCAGCTCATGGTTGCCTGGTTGGAGAATCTGTTTATTGTATTTTACATCTAGTCTGGCTGTCTGAACTGTCTGAAATATCAACTGTGGCATTTTGCATCTAGGGATTACGGGCCATGAAAAGATATTGTATCTCATAAGAAGCTTACTTTCAAAATGTTAGGTCACATGCTGTTTTTCAGTTCTGTTGTCAGAAAACACATTAACATTTTACAACTGCTTTGTTTTGTTTTGGCATTTACATATCAGTTTTACATCTGGCAGACTTGACATTCTGAAAATGTTTCTAAAATCCAGTTTTCATCTCAATAAAAGAATATGTTCTTGAATGCTAGGTAAAGAGTCAGGGTCTGCTCACATCTTCCTCACACACATATGGGAACTGAGCTTTAAATGAAGAGTCTCTCTTGAATCCTTTCTGTATTTTTTTTAAATTACTTGAACAAAACCATTCTAAAACTCAGTCAGTCAATCTGCTGTGGATCTCTTGCAAAGCAAACCCCTCTGACTCTTTATAGGGGACAGGGGTCAATTTCATGAATTTGCTAAAATACATTCCAGTACATCTACATCTACTTCAGTCACTGTCCATACACTGATTCCATTGTGTCCACCTAATCCCCATTTGATATATCAAGTAATAGTATTGAATAGGATAGAGTGTCAGTGGGATGACTTTCATGTCAAATTTATGGATTTCATAATCATTCTGCAGAAAGCTGGGTCACTGACAGAGAAATTAAAAAAACCCCACTCTTTCAAACTTTAAGCTGGGAAGATTTATTCAATTATATTACATCAATCTGGTCCTCCCTGTTGTGGATCTCTGTCAGGACAAACTAGAATTTCTTGCCATTACATCAGAACCAAGGGATGTTGAAGTGAAACACTATATTGGTTGGAGCAATCTTTTTCTCTGAATTTCACTGTTTTGGAAAAAGGTTCTGGAAATGAGATATTCCCTTTGTGCTAAAATATTAATGGCATTTGTATTGTCAGATATTTTTTATGCACCTCTGCCCATGTTTTCTGAGTCAAGACGGAGGTGAACATGTCAGCCTGTTCCAATCTATGATAGCTGTAGTTTCTTAAATTGGAAAGAGGACTCTATGCTCTTTTATATTTTATTTAATTAAGATGATATAAATAGAAGCAACAAAATGCTGCTGAAAGCAAAGTCGATTGTAAAGTTGACTCAGATATCATGAGCATGTGTTAATAAACAACTATCAAAACAGTGATGGTACCCCAAACTCTGTAAAATATATTCTTTTTAGAGATGGTATATTCTTGACATAAATTTGTTTAAAGCTTTTGTTAATGCCTGAATCTGAAAATATCTGACTTGTATCTCCTATTGCACTAAGCCACTTGGTCTGGGTTAGAATATTGATCTTCAGTAACCCATGCTTGTCGTAAGAGGCGACTAACGGGATGTCATCGGTTCCCAATTGCGCAGATCGATGCTCCTGCTGTTGATCACTGGATTGTCTGGTCCAGACTCGATTACTTACAGACCACCGCCATATAGCTGGAATATTGCTGAGTGCGGCACAAAACTAAACTCACTCACTCACTTAAGAATCTCCAATAAAAAGGACACTAATGACTGCAAGACGTACTCTTCCTTTTTCCTTTATACAATGGGATCGTGTCATGTGCAAATATCTGACGTTAAGTCAGAATGATGATGCCAATAAATATGAAAATAGTCCACATTAGCTTCTGTTGAAGAAGCTGAAATAGCGTTTGTCTAGACTGACCCATAATGTAGCAGTGATTACTGTCAACTTTAATTACCATGGAAAAAGCACCTTGCCTTCTGGTACTAGGGAGTGGAAGGCACATGTAGCACCTTATACAAACAGGAGTCATTCAAACAAGGATTTGATTAAGGAAAGGAAAGCAGAAAATATAGTGAACTCACCTGAATATGTTTGCCATGGGCTAATTACAATGTTGAAGATACTGACGTTGTTTTTCTAACTGCAGGACTCACAGTTATATATTTGCAATTGATATTTTGTCTGATGACGTGTCACAAGGAAACAAATAATGCATTGTGTTCAGTTATTTCCGTACTTGATATGTAAGCAACTTTCATTCCAGGTGTAGAAGTGCTGAGGTTGTATTGTTGTTCACTCTGTTATAAGCCCGCTGTTCTGCCGATACTGATCAGTGGTTTGTGAACATCATCCTCACTTACTGATTTTACCAGGGCCCCGTTTCACAAAGCTATTGAACTCTGTATTGCAAGTCTATGTTACAGTATAGGAGGTACGACAGTCGTAGTGCTACGATAGCTTTGTGAAAATGGGGCCAGAGCAACAAACATCTAACTGCAGTATCGTGTAATCAGGAGTCCTGTGTATGCCTTCTTGGTGAGGTTGCTAGAGTGTCCATGGATAAGGTTGTGTTTTAGTTTATCGTTACTGGTAATGGAATCTAGTGTGTTATTAACCTTTGCTCTGTGAAAACTAGTCTAGGAATTACAAGATAGACCTTTGGTTGAAAGAGCAATTGATCAACAGCTGTATCAAACAATATTGTTCCCCTCATTCATCAAAATTAACTAATTTCATTGGCAATGAATCAATCACAGATTTCATGATTGATTCCTTGATTGGAAATTGCATTCAATCCATCTTCAATGAAATCAGTTAACTTACAGAACACTGCCAAGACATGATAAAAAGTTTGTCTTCTGCCTGCACAGACATTATAACCATGATGTTTTATCACTTTTTTACACAATACACACTGAAACTACTCCTGGTCACCTGGAAGACAGAGGAAATTGATGCCATTGTCAAGTGTGCATCATCCCATTGTATTACTAAGGTTATTTCTATGTGTGTCTGTATCTGACCGTTCCCTGTTTCAGAACATCGAACACTGTTTCTACCATGGCCGTGTCAAGAGGGATGAATGGTCCAGTGTAGCGGTCAGCACATGCAGTGGGATAAGGTAAGCCATTGTTCCCAAGTAATTGTTAGAAAAAAGTGATGTGCCTTTTAGAGAGCACTGTACGAGAGCAGTGTACCAGTTCAATCTCTCAAATAGTTTTAAAATCAATGTCCTAAGGGACTATGAAGTTAGATATAAATGCTAAATGCCAAACGCGCATCAGCAGATAGACCATCTCTTAGCTGGGACCTGTTAGGATCAAAACAGTGTCATCGACAGTTGGGGTTCATTTATAACTCGGTCTTTGCCAAGAATGTCCTCCCCTGCTAGACATCCCCACGTGTATTCAAAAGTAGAATAGGTCCCCAGTACTGTGCTTAATCCAGGCATAGTTCAGTGGATATAGGACCGTCTGCTCTATTATCAGTCACTGATCTACCTACTGCTGTCAGGAAAACTGTGTACCATTCCAATTATAACCCAGCCATTCTGAACTGCAACATTATTTTCCAAGACTTTTCAAAATAGGTCCCAGTTAGCATCCTTCAACATCTAAATAAAGATTCCCAAGGCTCATGACCCCTGTGACACTTTTTCTCAAGGAAATGGCAATTATTTCATGGGACATCCCAAGGGTGAATATTTGGAAGCAGGAGAATTATAACGTGAATGTTAGCGATGGTTATTGAATTAATTCTCTACAACTCACTGTTAATACCTCTCCTGGGCACTTGTCTGAAGCTGGCGCTGGTGTCTCTCGCTCACAATCTGTCATGCATCTTTCAAGTACAGGCTACAGTTTCCAGAGTATTGAATCAGATTAAGTATTTCATGTTCCACCACAAGATACTGGATGTTTTTTGCCTCCTAATGGGAGCTTGTTCTCATATTGACTCTTTATGTTTTTGTTCTGGAAATTAATTTGAACTCTGAATTCTCTTGGGGGAGATTTTTTAGAAGATATGAAGCACATTACTAAAAATAATATGGAAAACATATTCCGCATTTCCTCTCAGAATTTATGTCTTTGATCTTGTCTCATTAAGCTGACCCTTGTTTTTGAACCATTATCAGCTGATTTAATGTTTTGGTTTGAAAGAGCAAATCATTCATTTTCTGAAATTAGTAGAGTTATTCATCTGTCAATTTATGCAAAATTAAATATGTTTTGTTTTCATAAGCAGTCCGGTTTGTCAGATGTTTTTGATTAATTTTCAGGTAATTATGTCCATTAAATGCACTTATCGCCTACTCGTTAAACCAAATCAACTTTTATTTTCATTTGAACACACATCCCACCTGAGGCACTTTGGTAATTACAAACCATAGAGTATTTGGAGGAAAATGTAAAATTAATGTTTCTGGTTTTGTATTGCCATGGCAACCAATGTTGTAACTCTCAAGGTAAACTTATTTCTCTTCAGGACAATCAATTTTCAAGATAAATAAGAGCTCTCTGTTAAAACATTTGATGTGATAAAAGCATTGTGTTAGGCTGTGAATTGTTTCAATATGTTTCTCATCTTGGTGATTGTTCAGATAATATTAACAAAATTAGTGCTTGTTCAGGGCAATCAATATTTGTCTTATTCTGATAAACTATGGTAACATATCTCTATTGTGACATAGTATGTTCTATAAATGTCGAGCTCAAGGCCAACTTTGGCCATAACATAAATCTCATTGTGCTGAGTGAGTGAGTTTAGTTTTACGCTACACTCAGCAATATTCCAGCTATATGGTGGTGACTGTAAATAAATAAGTCTGGACCAGACAATCTAGTGATAAACAGCATGAGCATCGATCTACATAATTGGGATACGATGACATGTGTCAACCAAGTCAGCGAGCCTGACCACCTGGCTAGCTATTCTCGAAACGTTCGTAGCCCTACGAACTTCTTAAGCCCATTCTTAACACACTGGCTATGATCAAAGTTAAGAATTCTTAGGGCTACGAACGTTTCGAGAATAAGAGCCCAGATCCTGTTAGTCGCCTCTTAGGACAAGCGTGGGTTACTGAAGATCAAATCTAACCCGGATCTTCACGGGTCCTCATTGTGCTGGAGAAGTGTTTGTTCATATTCCAGTGTTTAGTTACCTTCTACCCACTAGTGCAGCTATTGTTGCTTGTGCAGTGTATTATATCTGTACCTACCGCATGAGGTAACCATAGTGACCTGGAGATACTCACTGCAAACATCCAACAAGAAACATTTTTGTAACATCTCCACAATCTTTTTTTAGAGCAGAATGTTTTCCAAGTTTAAATGAATTATGTTTTTCTGATAGGTTTGAAAATGTTCTGTTAATGCACAGAGATGGATATTTGGTCCAGAGAGAGTCCAGATAAATTGAATTCCATGTGAAGAGATATTTTGTTAATCCTCTGGAAGGGAGTTATTCCTTCTGAGCTACTGAGCACAGTTGTCGTCTCAGTGTGATTAAAATACAGTGTTGTGTTTAAAATGGATTAGTTTGTTACTCCAGGGAGCCTGTATTTGTTTGACATCTTCAACACATGCTAACAGAATTCTAAAGAAAACCTTTTTCACTCCATCAAAAATGACTTGGTATTGATTGTAATTCAGAACAAATTATTTCCTCTGTCAATATTCTTTCGAATGACGTCACTGAATATGTCAAAATAAAGGCTTAGACATTTGAAGTTGGTACCGTTATATTATTGGGTATGTTTTAACTAAGTCACCGGTAGATTCCACAACTGTCTGCTATTTCCGTCTCTGTTTGTGAGAAACATACAAGCGGTAATCTTAATCCCTACATGTAATACAATGCCCACCAAAAACAAATTAGAACTGAAAAAGTAAATAATCTTGTCTAGTGATGTTTAATTGCGAATTTGAAGTCTTCACCGACAAAAGAAATTTTCTATTGTTCTTTCTTACGAACCGATATGATGACATTTTCTTACCACTAGAAAATAGTGTAACCTCTCTCTACAGAGAGGGATATTCTGCATATCTACCGGGCAGTGGGGTAGCCTTGTGGTTAAAGCGTTCATCACGCTGTAGACCCGGATTCGATTCCCCACATGGGTACACTGTGTGAAGCCCATTTCTGGTGTCCCCCGCTGTGATATAGCTTGAATATTGCTAAAAGCAGCGTTAAACCAAAGTCACTCACTCACTCACTCTGCTTATCTATGGTCATATATGGTACTTGTTATGTAAAATACCAACTGACTTGCTGAAGCATATTTATGAAGAACTTTTGAACGTTTGAAGACCTGCACTATTGACAAGGACAAATTTTGACTGTTTGCTGGTTAACATGTAATAAGTTATGAGCAAGAGCATTCTTTTCAGTCAAGCCTGTCACTTCTTTCTGTTAGAATTCCTCTTCCATGTGCCAGTGCATTGCATAATTAAGGATGATGATGTGATTATTGTAAAAAGATGGCCTTGAATCAATACGAGTATTTTGTTAGCTAGACGTAGTTGATCTCTCCAAGGGAGGACAGAGCATTTGTGGTTCCAAACAGGGGGTTGTTGGTGGGCAAAGTGGATCGTTCAGTTGACCACGTGTTCAGTCTTTTTAAACTTAGTTCTGCCTGTAGCTCTTCTGGTGCTCTAGGAATTCATCTGGAAACATTTCACTAAAAGATCTTTGCCTAAGAATCATTTAAGTTTACTGTCCTGGAGCAATACTCTAGAGCAATATTTCTTCGCGCAACACAGTACTGACGCAGATCATCTCAAGGTTGCTCCTGTTCTAGAAATTTCATAGAATTTGACAAGAACAGTAACCATCTGCGTCACTGTTCTTAATGAGGTCTTGTCATCCTGTGATGATTCCAGCACAGAATAGATCCCTGTACCCCATGCTTGTCTTCTGTGATGATTCTAGAGCAGAAAAAGTCCCAAGTATCCTGTTTTTATTCTGTGATGATTCCAGCACAGAATAGATCCCTGTACCCCATGCTTGTCTTCTGTGATGATTCTAGAGCAGAAAAAGTCCCAAGTACCCTGTTTTTATTCTGTGATGATTCTAGAGCACAGAATAAATACCCCTCTACTCCATGCTTGTCTTCTGTGATGATTCTAGAGCAGAAAAAGTCCCAAGTACCCTGTTTTTATTCTGTGATGATTCTAGCACAGAATGATCCCTGTACTCCATGCTTGTCTTCTGTGATGATTCTAGAGCAGGCAGAAGATTCTAGATGATTCCAGCACAAAAGTCCCTGTACCCCCTGTTTTATTCTGTGATGATTCCAGCACAGAATAGATCCCTGTACTCCATGCTTGTCTTCTGTGATGATTCTAGGGCAGAAGAAGTCCCAAGTACCCTGTTTTTATTCTGTGATGATTCCAGTCCCAAAACTACCCTGTTTGTATTCTGTGATGATTCTAGCACAGAAGAGTCCCAAGTACCCTGTTTTTATTCTGTGATGATTCTAGCACAGAATAGATCCCTGTACTCCATGCTTGTCTTCTGTGATGATTCTAGGGCAGAAGAAGTCCCAAGTACCCTGTTTATATTCTGTGATGATTCCAGCACAGAATAGATCCCTGTACTCCATGCTTGTCTTCTGTGATGATTCTAGAGCAGAAAAAGTCCCAAGTACCCTGTTTTTATTCTGTGATGATTCCAGCACAGAATAGATCCCTGTACCCCATGCTTGTCTTCTGTGATGATTCTAGAGCAGAAAAAGTCCCAAGTACCCTGTTTTTATTCTGTGATGATTCTAGCACAGAATAAATCCCTGTACTCCATGCTTGTCTTCTGTGATGATTCTAGGGCAGAAGAAGTCCCAAGTACCCTGTTTTTATTCTGTGATGATTCCAGCACAGAATAGATCCCTGTACTCCATGCTTGTCTTCTGTGATGATTCTGGGGCAGAAGAAGTCAAAAGTACCCTGTTTATATTCTGTGATGATTCCAGCAGTGATGGATGCCCAGTACTCCATGCTTGTCCTGTGATGACTCCAGAAGTGACGCTCAGCACTCACAGTAGCTGAAATGAATATATCGTCAGACTCCATGATTTGGATTATTCTGTGTCATTATACCTCAGCATCATGGGACATAATGTCACCACTGCTAAGTCTGGTACAGGGTGCTATTGCATGTTGCTTAAGGGGCGGTGGGGTAGCCCAGTGGTTAAAGCATTCGCTCGTCATGCAGAAGACCCGGGTTCAATTCCCCACATGGGTACAATGTGTGAAGCCCATTTCTGGTGCCCTCCACCATGATATTGCTGGAATATTGCTAAAAGCGACATAAAACTAAACTCACTCACGTACTCACATGTTGCTTAAACATCAAAGGAAAATAATTAACACACGATAAGCATACATTTCAAATCTGTGAAGAAGGAAAAGACCTACACCTTCTGAGTAACTGATCTGAACAAAGATCCATGACTACCATGCCCTCCCCAAAAGGCCCTCCCGATATTGATTGTCAGACGTGTTATAACATTCTCCTGTCACAGCTGATTGTGATTAAATACACATTTTTAACTGACATGGGTTCTGTGTTTATTTTCTCCCCCTAATCATTGTATTTACTGTCTAAGTCCACCCAAAACACACTAATCATTCAGAGCAGACCAGCCAGAGTCAGATATTTGCATTGAGACAAGAATTGCCCAATCTAGAATGTTTGGTCCATTGGAGAAATGAAAACAGTAACACAGCGTAAGTTCAAGTAGAAAATCAATTTTTGAAACATGAGTGTTGAAATTAATGTGATGGATATCAACACATGCTTCCTGAAGGCAAGATTGGGATATGAATGATAGGAAACAAATTACTGACTCTTGAAAAGATATAAAAATCAGAAACATTTGCTCATCACATCTATTATTCATGTAGATGTTTTATAAATGGATTTTATTTGGTTTTCTAATTCATGTCTAAACTACATCAAGTTTGTGACGCCCAGTTTGACAGTTGATGATAATATGGTTTCATCCTCATGGTGTCATGGTATCATTGGGGTGCTGGGGTAGCCTAGTAGTTAAACCGTTCGCTCGTCACACTAAAGACCCGAGTTCGATTCCCCACATGGGTACAATGTGTGAAGCCCATTTCTGATGTCCCTCCTGCTGTGATATTGCTGGAATATTGCTATAAGGAGCGTAAAACTAAACTCAACTCACTCACTCATGGTGCCATCAATTTCAGTTTTGATGTTTGCGATTACATGTTAGCATTTCTATGTTGATGTCAAGTAGTTTCCTGCCACTTCTGATATTGGTTATAGCTTGTACATTGTCTGGCAATATTTTATAGTCATTCAAATATTGTATGTGGCAATAGGCGAATGTCCTCTGTAAACACTTGAAACTGGATATTTATTAGTATTTTGTTTCAAATGCTGATTGCATTGTTCACTGTTTTGTATAATCCAGACTTGATTATAAAAAGGCCACCACGGTATAACTGGTGTACTTCTGAATGTGCTCTTAAACAGAAGACAAATAACCTTTATGTACAGGTTTTCTTTTTATTATCTATAATATGAAATATAAGAACAAGGTGAGCTGCAGAACCTAAACCTATTAAGCAGCTGTGTTGGCGGAGTTTATGCAAATATAGCCAAACAGAATATCTTGTCTCAAGATGTTTCTGAAATATGCAAGAAGACAGTAGTTGGTGATAGTGTCAAATGTTCAGCCTGTCAGATTGTGTAATATGTTCCCACAATGTGTCCTGTCTTCTTGAGCTCTGATAATGTCATCACATGACATGTCCCAGAAGGGCATATTGTGACATTCTTGTCTTCAGTCACATTGATTTTAGAATTGTAGTTTTTTGCTTGACAGATAGTGGTGTCTGTATTTAAAGATAGCTTCCGTTAAAAAATTGCATTCACCAATGCTGAAAGGGTCATCTTGATGAAGCATTATTGCTTGTGGGTAAATGTGTGTACATTTAGAAAAGAGGCTAATTCTGAATGATGTATACTGATACATAGTGTCAGTAAAGGGTCCCTTAAAGGTCATAGCCCTTATATTAAACAATTCTGTTCTTCGTACCTTTAATAGGCTGAGTACATGATCATGTGATATCATACAAATTATGTGATGGTTTTTTTCCATTTTTAGTGTTATGAAAACTTTAACTGATCTTATGTTTTTGGTATTTTTTTTGTAGATGGAGGAATCTTGAAAAATATTTTTGAATTCACACAGCATTTTTCTGAATTTCTTTTTAAATTAAGAAATTGAATTTAATATGTATTCTTTCTGTTTCAGGGGTGTCATTCAAATGCACAATGAGACGTATGTGATTCAGCCGCTCCTGGGGGGAGATGAAGGTGTAAGTATTGCTTTCAGTCAGGCTCAACGGTTCAGCTGCTGACAAAATGATTTCTGGCAATTCTTGTGATCAAACCAGGTAGATTTAAGTACATGCACAGAGGGAACATTTGTCACAGTCTACAAACATGCATTTCACAAGTACCTGTGTTGTCAAATGACAAGTGGATCAATATTATTGTAGATATTTATCATCTTGATTTCAAGGCTTCATGCATGTATGAGTGTATATGCTGCAATGGTGATCTAAAGGTTCAACATCCACATTGTACCATGGGATTCCATCACCTACAACAATTTCAACTGGATCTGAACTGTCCGTTATACCCAAACAGACACCCAGAATTCGAATTTTACCAGTTTTGGAACGATTCCCTTAGTTTGAGATGGATTTGGTTATGTTTTAAGCAGTCTTTGATGATATTTCGATTTCTACAGCATCTTTCAATTTGACAGGTATTAACTGAATTTGAGATGTCAATACTTTCTTGCAAATTATAAGAGGCAGAAAGTTTTAGAAGGTAGAAATAGTTTTTTATATCTTTCAGAAAACTTTTGGATTGAATCTTAGGAGATTGAAAATTTGGGGATCAATACTTATTTCACAACTGCAGATGGTGTTTCATCAGATCATATCCAAAAGAATTATCAGGATGTGTTTCTATGAAGTTGTAGGAAATCAATTGATTATTTTTGTCTAGTTTAATAAGCCACACCAGAGCTGAGGCTAGTCAATGGGAGTGAATTTACTGAGAAGGAAGGAATCGCTGATTGATTGATTGATTGATACTGACAAGGCGACATCAACATCAGGAGAGGATCAGCTAGTTCCTGGGTTTGTGATGCTTCAGTGCATTCATTCACTATTCATCTAGTTCAGAAATCTGCCTCTCATGGCATTATGAATGGCAGATATATGTGTTTGGAAAACAATAAGGATGGCTCAAAACAAGAAACAGACTTTTAATAATGTCCACCTCAGATCTACAGTACCCATTTTCAGTTGTTTAATCACAGGTTCCTCTTACAACACTCTGGTGTCCCCCGCCGTGATGTTGCTGGAATATTGCTAAAAGCGGCGTAAAACCAAACTCAGTCAGTCCTCTTACAACAAGACTGGATTACTGAAGACCAAGATCCGGGTTAGAACTGGTCTTCAGCAATCCATGCTTGCCGTAAGAGGCGACTAACTGGATCAGGTGGTCAGGCTGGTTGACACATGTCAACGTATCCCAGTTGTGTTGATTGATCCTCGTGCTGTTGATCACTGGATTGTCTGGTCCAGACTTAAATTTTTTATAGACCGCCACCATATAGTTGGAATATTGCTGAGTGAGGCATTGAACAACAAACAATCAATGATTAAAATCAGCTGTTTAATCACTTAATTCTTCTGAATCTTTGTACACTATTCAAAAGAAGTTAAAAGACTGTAGATTATATCTTATTACTGTAGTTAATGTGTTTTAGGCCATGACAGTTTAACTGGTGTAATATGAAAGAAATCAGGTTTTCTTAACTTATTTTGAATAGTATATGATCTGTCTATAGATTTTAGGGGATGTTAAATGTTAGTTAGATCAGGTGAAGTTAACAAAAATATACATAGTGTATCTGTTACTCAGTTTGTATTTAGGTCACTTCTCAGGTTTGTGTCCTTGAGTGGGAGAAAATGAAAATACTCTTTACATTATCCAGGGACAAGATGTTGGCATTCTTTCAAAAGTTAGGAAAAATTCATTTTTGCTGGAACATAGCTGGCCATGTCAGAGCAGCAATTAATGCCAGTCTTGTAGAAATTTGTGAGGCCATGACTGTCCTCCAGATTGTAACTTCCATGCTGTTGTTCAACAGTGCAAGGAACATCAGCCTGTATTTGATGGACGACCATTGACTTCCACCGTCTGTCTTATATAAACGACAGCAAGAATAGCAGAGAAATGCTAAGGTCTGATCAATATAGAATTTTGTCCCTGACATATGAGGCAGCGTTGGAGCACTTTGACTTGGGAACCACGGAAACTGTGGAGTAAGACGGTAATTGTCTGATGTTACAGACTTCAGTGGACATTATCTTTTTCATTTTCTACTTGGGCAGGGCTGCCTGCAGAACAGTTTAGGTCTCCAGTACGTCAAAGGAGGATGGGAGTAATGTGTATTCATGTGAGATCGGGGCGGTTGGGTAGCCTTGTGGTTAAAGTGTTCACTCATCATGCCAAAGACCCAGGTTCGATTCTCTACATGGGTACAATGTGTGAACCCCATTTCTGGTGTTCCCTGCCGTGATATTGCTGGAATATTGCTAAAAGCGGCGTAAAACTAAACTCACTCACTCATTCATGTGAGATGAATGCTTAAGCTGTACATTGATGGTTTGGTTTGACCAGACTGGACACACTGACCCTGTATTATAGCTGCAGTGCTACTTACTGCAGCACAGAGCAACAATTACCTCTGAGCTGTCAACACAATCATTGACTACAGAGCTGTCAAGACAAACATTGACCTCTGAGCTGTCAACACAAACAATGACCTCTGTGCTGTCAACACAAACGTTGACTTCAGAGCTGTCAGCACAAACATTGACCTCTGAGCTGCCAAGACAAACATTGACCTTTGAGCTGTCAATTCAAACTTAACTTCAGAGCTGTCAAGACAAACATTGACCTCTGAGCTGTCAACACAAACATTGACCTCTGAGCTGTCAAGACAAACATTGACCTCTCAGCTGTCAAGACAAACATTGACCTTTGAGCTGTCAACACAAACATTGACCTCTGAGCTGTCAACACAAACATTGACTTTAGAGCTGTTATCTCAGGTGCAGGTGTTTGCTTTGCAGAGTTACTTCCCATGGGCTTACCAGAATCCTGGTTTGCCTTGATTGCCTGAGGGTTTCCTGAATGTGGCAAACATCTAAGGCCTGCATCACTTTGGGGTTTCCTCCCATATTAAGTTGACATGCCTCAATATAACAAGCAGTTATTGGGGCGTGGTGTGCGAGCTGGCTAAGGCACCAGGCTAGTGATCCAGTGAGCTTGAGGTGACGGGATCGAGCCCACCTGTTACCAGGTGTAAAAACCCTGGAGTCAACTTTGCGTGCAGACTCTCTCAGTGTTGTCACAACCCCTAGTGTACAGTACACAACCCTGTGCACTTAAAAGAACCTATATGACCAGATGGTGGCCACATGAATACGTGGAAACACCTAGTTGCGGGTACAGCAACGTGCAGTAAACGTGGACAAAATACTGTGACTACGTGTCCCAGTCCACCCAGCTGTGAATGGGTACCTCGTAAGACACATTAACTCGGTGCACCTAGTAGCTGCAAGAGTTGTATGCTCCCCCAGGGAGTTGAGATTGATAATACATTGTGCCATTTGAGACTGACATCCAATGATCGAGGGAAAAACAAAGCACCTTTGAGCATGTGATCTTGATATTGGCGCTATATAAATATATATAAATAAATAAAAAACAAATAAAGCAGTGTTAATCCAAACTCACTACAAAAAGACGTGTCAAAAAGACATTGACCTGCAGTCACCACAAACAATATTGACTTCCAAGCAACACAGACATTGACTTTCAGAGCTGTCTACACAAAATGATATTATTTTTCCTTATCCTGACTCATGCTCTTTTTGCTTGTCTTCTTCTTCTTGCGAACATAGTGGAACACTTGTATCTCCCTAATTGAAGCTCCCTTCAATGTAAAATCACTAATTAGTACATCACGAGTTACCTCCCTTCCACAAGCGCGGGAACGAGGGCGCCACCTCTACCCATGTGCCTCACTCTCTCCTTCTTCGCCCAGTGAGCTGGACGTGAGAGCGCCTGTGTCTCCCCGACACACTATATCCTTGGATTATATTTAGTTAGTTACCTCGTATAGACATCTATAGAGGTTTAGCTAGTATCCTTCAACAATTATATATTGATATTTAGTCGTGGTTTCTACTGTTTATTCACGGACGCCATGTTTGTTCTGTGGATTACGTTGATGAAAATTCTGTACTGTTGCAGATTACGCTTTTATTCTGCTGCTGATCCGCATTTAATATGCCCTAGCTGTACTGCGCCATGTTCATTTTATTCACGTGGCAGTTGCGGTACTAATTTATCCAATTCTGCCTTTAATAAATAAATACTTTATGTTTGAGACGCCGCGAGCAGATAGGTCACGATGCAGAGTCTAGCCATGACTGATACACCTGAACCCTCGCCAGTCTACTGCGGTTGGTCGACCCCCTCCCGCCTGGTATTCCGCTAGAGTGGTGGAGAGGCGTGGACGTAGTCCGCCGCCTCCAAGAAGCCGCCCTGCTTCCCCAGACATCCCATCGCCGCGAGCCGAAGACTAGAGGGCTTCTACTGCATCTCAACGCAGACTTCACACCCCCAGGGCAGCGCCGACCTCTGAGGGGAAATCAACGAAGTCTACTAGAACTTTCAGCCGAGATTGTTCCCGCCGCGAGATTTGGGCCTGTATGATGATCAGCCGATCATCATACCTGATGTACATCAAAAGAATGACCGATGTCGGCAACAGTGATGTCAGCGCAGATCAACATGCAGCCTGATGTACTAACGCTGATATTCGATGATCTTCCTGAGGGTCCCGCCGCTACCAACACTCAACGCAGACTTCGCGACCCCAGGGCAGCCGACCTCTGAGGGGAAATCAACTAAGTCTACTAGGACTTTCAACCGAGATTGTTCCAGCCGCTGAACTGGGCCTCTACGATGATCAACCGATCATCATCCCCGGCGCACGCCACAAGAAGTTTACCAGTGACATCAGCAGAGATCGCCATGCAGCCTGATGTCTCTACACTGATGTCAGACGACTTCCCTGAGGGCTCAGCAGCTGTCATCGCGAGAGAGGGCACCGACCACTTCGTCGCAGACCATCCCAGACGAAGCTGTTGCGGCAGATCATGACCATGATGGAGGGCCACTACAGACGGGAGAAGCAGCCAGCCCAGGGCCTGAGCAACGC